CCATTGAAAAGGAAGGGAGAAGGCAATTTTGAGAAAAAAAAAACAAAACTCCCACCAATATGTATAAGTGTGTGTCTGTACGCCAGCATTTATGAAAGCAACCAACATCCCCATCCCCATCCTCTTCTCTCTCAGAAATTAATGGCTTCAAATCTACCCCCAACGACTCGCATTGAATTCAGCAGTTTCAAAATCGTGGAAAGCAAAACAGGAATATGAATATGAATGGTTTTTCTTTTTAGACTTTGTTGTTGGAATTCGATTCGGTTTGTCTGATACACAGAACAGAACAGAGCAATTCAGAGAAGAGAGAAATAAGAGATGTGGTGCGTACCTGTGCTGCTGCTGGCTCACTGACAGAGGCCATGATTGAATCACGGGGAATGGGATGCCCCCCAACAAATCCAGTTTTCCATTTCATTTCGATTTGATTTGGGACACAAATTTGAGTCATTAAACTTGGATTCCCTTCGCTTCTTGCCTTCTCACTTCTCACTTTCCCACCGTCGAGGACACTGCCCTATCCCCTCTCCTTCCTACGCCCATCTTGTCTCAAGATTGCTGCCCAGACCAGATTTTATTCTCCCCCCCATCATCACCTTATCAGGATTAAATTAAATTTACACGACTAAAGAACAGTTCAACATAATAATTCAATTACACTTTAATCCACATACTCTACTACCATTATACCTAGTCCAAAAGATCAAAAGTACTTTCCACTCCAAATCACAAGTTCGGGAGTCACTTCAAAAAGTGCTTTCAAAAAAGCCATAATCAGTTTAGAATGTTTCGGGAAAAAAAAAATACTTGGCTAATGCGTTTAGCCCAAGTATTTGAATGCTAAAGTAATGTTACTAAAGTTTAGCCCAAGTATTTGACTGCTAAAGTAATGTTACTAAAGTGCTTGTGATGATGACTAAAGTAGTTTTGCTAAAAACACTCTCGAATGCCAACCTCGTCATAGTTGATATAAACTTCAATAATTGATATATGCTTTGAGTTTGAGGTCATATGTCCAGTCCACATATTCCTAAATTGTACTAAAAAACACCCTCAAACATATATTTTAGGTAAGTTCAAAATGTTTTGATCAATAACATCACATTATTATTTATACTATAAATGAAGTTAATGCAATGATATCTATTGACTAAATTATGACTAAGCTAACTCTTGATATGATAGACAACCTAAGAAATACTGTCACACCAAAATTTCACTAACCAAATAAATAAAATACAATTATAATCTACATTTCACAAATGTAATTGAAAATTTTTAAAGCTCAACAACAAAAGCTACTAACTTTGGAGTGGAGAGGCTAAGTTTACGGTTATAAATAATGGGCTTACAGGTATAGCAAAAAAGCACTTCATGATTTGTAAATACAGCAAAGACTGAAGGACCACTCGAACAAAATAATAGAAAACTCGGGTATACCTTTCACAGTGATATATATTATCAATAATATACTTTGAAGTATATCAATTATATTCGCTATATTAATGATATAGATAAATTAAATTATATCAATGATACACTTGGTATATAAGTAAGAAATCTATAACGTTGTTTAAACCAAAATCTTAACTGAAGAAGATTTATCAATGATATACATAATATGAAGTATAATATATCATTAACATAATCAATATACCTAGTAGCGTCATTAGTTACTTTATATTAGATAAATAAGTTATACCATTGAAATATCTAAGACAATATTAGAATAACCAAACAAACAACAAATGATTTTAAAAAGTTTGCTATATTTACGAAATAAAAAATTGTTGCTAAAATATGTTTTGCTACAAATTAAAAATAACCAAAGATAATTCTATATTATTTCTTCCTACACAAGATGGATGGGGGATATTATTATTAATGTCTATGTCACATGACTCCAATCATGCAGAGTTGTTTTTAATATTTGATTTATATTTATGACAAGTAAAGTTCAATTAGAATGTATATAATCAATTATTTTTTTAAAAAGTAGTCTCTACTTTCCATAATAATAATAATAATAATAATAATAACAACAATGAGTATTTAAATAATCGTTTCAAGTATGTAATAATTTTCAACTATATAAATATATAATCAACAAACTCCATGCTCTTTTCTTGGTCTATTGGTGGCTAGCTAAGGCGATAATATTCTATAAATTATGATCTATTTTCCAACTTTTTTAATACTCAAAGAATGAGTTTTTCCACGCAAGCACTATCCTCAGCTCATCTATACCACAAACCATTGTAGGACTTTGAACGCTTGAGCAAAGTTGCAAATTTTGGAGAAGCACATATAGGTCACTGAAAGAATTTGTGAAGCTAATCAAGCGTTTTTGAGAGTGTTTTTTATTTTTATTTTTTTTTTTGGCAAAAGTACTTTAATTATAAGTCTTTAATCTCTTTCAAAATATTATTTAATCAAACACTTAATTCAAAAGTCATGTATTTTCTCACAAAATACATGAAGACTTTTTTACTTTTTTCAAATACATATTTTTCACTCTAAAAAAATGACAATTCTGAGAGAAATGTTTTTTCGAGGGAAAAAATACACTCTTAGAGATAGTCTTAGCATGAGAGTATTTATTCTGAATTGTGAATTTACTAGCCCTATACAAATTTAGATTTTTATAACATATTTCTATTCCTAACTTAATGACCCTTCTACCCTTCATTTAGTCTAACGTTCAAAGCTCTAACCATCTAGGGAATGACTTTCATGTGATTTACTCATTGGCCTTTGAGCAACTCAAAAAACTTCCATTTTCCTTGGGAAAACGTGTATGCCCCATTGTAGGGACGACCACTAAAGAAAAAAAAAACACCAACGCATGCTTATAAGCAGCTAATTTCTTCTCTTTCTGAATCAAAATTCAGAATGGTTGACCAAAAGAAACAGGCAAACTAGAAACCAAGCAGCAAAACCAACAGCCTTTTGTTATTGTTAAAGTGGGCCTTAGACTTCTGCTTACCGCACAGCTCAGTGAATGGGATCTCACTGTTTTCAATGATTGCGAGCCGTTGTGGTTAAAAAGTGGATATCTGCCGTAATGAAAATGTCTCAAAGCTAATAAAAAACAAACCTTTTTTTTTTCTTTTTTCCTGAGAATCCCCAATTATGATCCCGCGGTGGACGTCAGAGAGACGTGTTCATCGCTGCATTTGGAGGAGTCTTCAGCAAATCTACTTTACAACCCTGTATGTGGAGAATCTGAAAAGGCAGTTAGAGAACAAAAGGATGAGTGCTTGGTATGTATAAAAAAAGGAAGAGACTTAATTTGCTGCAATCAGCCCTGTTACTGGTGGCTAATATTCAGTCACATGAAGAGCAAACTCATCCCTTTTTTTAACCTTTGGCTGACTCCTGCTCCGGACAGTAGTTTGAATAATAAAAAAAAAATCATAATTTTCAAATAGACATATAGAATGTGCTGGTGGTAGATGAATCATGATTATATATGAGTCAAATCTATAAAAGCAAACTAGCTAGCTTTGATTATGTAGTACATCTTGAGAATAAATTAATCAGTGTATCCAAAAAATCAAGTGGCAGGTAAAACAAACAAAGTTGCCCCCAGTTTGATGACTGGGACAAGGCAGTGTCCGCACAGGACAGTTAGCTAACTCTAGGAATTCAGAAAGACAAAAAATTATAAGAATATAGATATTCACTGTTGAGAAACATTGCAGTGCCAGTGGCCCAACTAATACATACACATACACGATGAAGGTTGGGAGGTTAGGGAAGCCGTGGAAGGGTGGTGTTCTGCGTACCTTTTGGAGTTTCAAACCAAAAATGATGAGAGAATTGACCGTGGCATTATGATGGAGATGCTTGGTAGTCTCTTTCCTGCTCTTCTGCCATGTGGCACACACTTTAAGAGTGAAAGCATGTCAATTCGACTCGATGTGTGGCAAAATTAATGTAAAACTAATCTGATATAAAAACTTGGAAAAATTAAATTAATCATACCCATCTACCAAACTGACTAAGATCGAATTGGATGGACCAACATAAAGTTTCGCACAAAGGTTCACAAAGGTTTACTGAAGTCATCCAATCAATCTACATTACTAACAAATTTAGATCCACAAAGGTTCGCACATTCAAATTTAGATCCACTAATTACACACACACAGATAAAATTTCGGGACCAACATAAAGTTCGTGAAATTCCAGAATTGTCGGTGTCTAATACCATTACATCTGAAGGGAGAATCCTACATATGATAGGAAATGCACACTAATAAGGATTAAGGACCAAGGGGGGGTGGATTAATTGGCTTTGATGTATCAATTAAAAGACAAGTGCCCCCATACCCCGGGTATAAAAGATTAAAAAGTTAAAAATAAAAATAAAAGACAAGAAGTTTCTAAATAAATTAGAAATGCAACAGAAAGACTAGGAGCTTTTGTTTAAAGATTCGATTAAACTGTGCACATTGAAGTCATTAATTAGAATTTTATGGTTTGTAATGAAATAATCTAATTTTTTTTAATTATTCAAATATGTCTCCACTAAATTTTGGTTCTAAAAAAATAAAGAACTATTTAGAGAACGCCTCCCAAACAAGGATATGATTAGAAAATTTCATCACCTTGCTTCTAGTGCTAAATAGTTGTGGTTATTTCCTCTGTAACTTCTGAAACTTCTTCATGGTTCCATTCCATGCATCATCAACTTTCATAGATCATCTTTTTCATTTTATTCCAACTATAAGTTTAGAAGTCATCATACCCCTCTTAGTAGGAAACATGTCCATGAACTTAATGTTATAAAACAAGTCCATGACGAGTACTATTTTACCCACGTCATCCCCTCTAGATAAATTTATTGCAGTAAGAAAGGGCTAAAACCATTATTTTAATTCTTCTGCAAAAAAAGAGAATAATTCAATTTTGGATCAACTCTAACTTAACCAATAAAGAAAAGTTAAGCAAGTATCTACATAAATCATATTATTATCAATAAACTATATCATTCAAGTACATTAAACTGTGTTCTATAGGTCGCTCCACAACTAAAACATCTAGAAAAGCTCTTGTGTCAATCACTTACATTCCTCTCCATAGATCATACACAACACTCATAGCTGCTGCTCATATTTCAGACCACTTAGAGCTGGGTAGTTCGCTAGAAGAGAATAATCTTTTCTGTGATCAAACTTGACAAATGGCGTTTGACAAGCTCTGCAAGAACGACATAATCTAAATTATACTTAATATATTTCACTCATTTAATAGGCATGAAAATGCATTTATTTCCTGTGCAATGACTATTCATGATTATATATTATGAGTAGTCAACTTAGTATCTAACTTTACAGTTTACACGTAGTTCCGGGTGGCACAAAAGAAAGTGGGGGAAAGAAGGCAAAACTTTCAAACCTTATTTCTGCCATACTGCATATCTGCGGCCAGAGGTTGCAAGCGTCCATTCCGTACCGGAAGGGCACCAAGAACCATCTCCGATCTTCATGCACAGTTTCCCCCCAATTATTGCAGAATAAAGATCTGATCGTGCCTCAAGGATCTTCACAGATGACCGACTGTGGATGTCTTGACATTTTCGAATGTCAATCTGCAAGAAAAATATAAATAATTAACGTGAATAATTTGGTTGAAGAAAGGATAGCAAACAAAATAAAATAAATAGCATGCAACATACCAAATTTACAATCTGCCTGTGCACCGAGTCACCCCAATCGTAGAAGTGGTCATAAAATACCGTTGGTATCCCTGGGTGCGTGAGAATATATGCATAGCCCTGCATGGAATCATGGATGACTACTAAACCAAAGCTCGAGAAAGCAAAATTAGATGCATGACGATGTTTTATTATTGGAAGATAGGACAAGGCTATAGATCGAGCATAAAAGTAGTTGCAGTAGCAACTGTAAGAAGAGAAGATAAATATAAAGCTTTTCTAACGCAGTTAACCCAGAAAACTTTTGTATACCATCAGAGCTTGATCACTCGGCACACTGAACTGTTTACTCCAAAAATTTGCAGTTAAAAGTTGGAAACCGACTTAAAATGAAGTCAAATATCTGAGAATAACTTACTTAAATTGTCTAATGCGGGAAGATGGGGCTGGATTCAGACATTGGATTAGTTGGACCAAACAATTCAGAGTTTCGAAAATGCACCATGAATGATGATGAACATGTGACTGGGTATTTAGACTGTACTATAAAACCAGGACAGGCATAGCATGAAAGAGAGCTACAGCTAAAAATTAGACTGCAAGCAAGAAAGGAGATTGCATATGCAATGAAGACGCAGTTTGCGTACATCCATGACATGGTTGGCAGGAAAAGGCCAATGGGCCTGCAAGAATAATAGCATGATGAGGTTAGAGGAATTACTGACATTCCAGGGGTAAAAGTCCAGCTTCTAAATATATTTCAAGAAAATACACATGAAGAATTATATAGATTTAGTCGTCAAGCAAGTAAACTTGCATTTATTAATTATTAATCATGATCTGCTTAGCCCATTGCTCTAAGTGAAAGCACTGTTTGATGCTGCTTTCAACCTTAACTCTTCTCATAGCAGGGGGGACGAGAAATAGTTGATGTTTCACTAGTAAGATTCAAAACGTCACAAAAAAATGTAACTAAATATAATACATTATAGAACCACCAAACTAGAACAGGGTCAATTATGAGTTTCCAAATAATAATCCAAAGCTATCTACTCATTAAGGTGCTGAGTTGGATTGCTGGGACTATTTATATATAATTAGTTCAAAACTCAAACAGGCATCTGGAACAAATATAGAAAAACTTAAAATATACTTCGAGTTTGACCTCATACATCTCAGCTATATATTGTTGCAAAAATGAATACACGTCTTATGAAAGATGACACCCTCTCGTAATAATATGAAAGCAACACTAGCAAATGGAACAGAACCCAGCAGCTGTTCTGTTGGACGCATAATAGGCCATATAAAAGCCGTAGGACAACCGGTCATTATAATTTCGGTCATATATGCATCAATAACGCTCTTCTCCATTGCTGTCTAAGACATTTTCATGTATGGTTGTGGTCGCACTCAGCCCGCACTACAGGCATGACTTCCAAACACGTGTCTTAAAATATTAATTTAAATAAAAGGATAATGGCTAGCAAGAAATATGGTCAAATTGAGACCAATTAGCACGCATAATGAGCAATAAAACACAAATGTAGAAGTGTCTATCAATTGCCTGACAGCTACAAGCAATAATTTTATAAATAATTATCAAAGACGGTACCTGTGTTGAACCAGTATCATGGTTATCTAAGAATGTTACGGCCCTTGAAGGCCACCATCCCATCACACCTGGTGGCTTTCCTTGACGGTAACGTAGACGCCATAATTGTCCTTTAACAGCCTCCTACATGCCAAATTAAGTTAGGTTTATTAAGTAGTAAACAAAGAAACAAATGCATGTAAATTATTAACTTGTACTAGCGAGAAGAAATATTAAAAAAACCAAACTTCACTTAATACGAAAGAAGAAGCAAAGAAGTTCGTGGAAGATGAACAAAAAGCCGCAAATTGCAGGGTTACAGGTCTAAAGGGAAATGAAACATCCATGACATTATTGTAGCCTGACCCTTCTATTTTAAATAATTAAGATCTGGTATTCTTGGTATTACTATTTGGAGAAGGGAGGGGGGTGGTTAGAAATGGCCTCACATACAACAGCAATAACTGAAGAATTCCCTTGGTAGTAAAATCAAAAGCAGATGAAAGTTGTCCTGTACTATCAATCCAATTTATTATCCGCTGTCTATGTCCATCTGCATTTGGAGTTTGTGATCATAATTATAGAATACAAAAATTGATTAAAAAAAAAGAAAGAAAGAAACAGAGGACATTATTCACAAACATCGACAATTCGAAATCAAAAAGAAAATCCTTTTCATAGTCCAAGTCAGCAATTGGGTATATTGCATATTACATGATTCCAATTGATCACATAATACATACAAAGAACAAAATGCATCGTTTTACCTTGATTATGGTCCAAGTCATTGCCATTATAATTACAAGAATCCCAATACTCTCCAATAGAAAATATCGGCTTTGCTGCTTCAATATATTCTTTCACAAATTTTGCAGAATAACTGAGCTTGAACATCAAAGATAAAAGCAAAAAACGAATGTATATTAGAACCAACTGAATAACTCCTTAAAAGAAAAGGCAAGATGAAATTAGTGAAGAAGATGATAGAGAGTGAAGATTTGAAACAAAGAAGAGCGATGTTATCATATTCAGAAACTTGAGTTACTCAAAAAAGAAAGCTTCCTTTTAGAGGATGGGGGAAAGAGAGGAAACCACAAACACGTTTCAATGTATCTCACGTTATCATTATTGTGGAAAACAAACAGAAGGTTTTTTTTTTTTTTTAAACCGACACCAAGCGCCAGTTCAGTCCTCAATCTCACAAATCCCGTGATGATGCAAACAATGAGTAAAACTAAAAAAAAAAAAAAATTCTTGCATAGAAGAAAAGTACTACCCTTCGCAAAAAAAGAAACAAACAGAGAAGGAAAAGATTACCCTCTTGCAAAATCAAAACGAAAATCCTGAAATCCAACATTACCGCGTAGCCACTTCAGCCATTCTATGATATCTCTACGGACAAAACGTTGGCTATGATCGATGTTTGGAACCCCATGGAAGTTGTCCCCAGTGCTACGATTGCCCTATAACGTGATACCACAGGCTAAGGATCGTACATTTTCTGATAATTATGGGCTCACTTGGAATTTATAACAAAGAAATACCAGATTACCAGGCCGCCAGTGCATGAGGTAACAGCAAATTCATTCCATGGTAATGGTATTCCATGGTGATTGATGACTATATCAGCAGTTGCTCTAACCTTGCACTGCTTCATTTTCTAAAGTAAAGCTTTAAGCATGTCCTCAGAACCATATGAAGAGTTTAGGGAGTATAAGTTCTGAGGGAGATAACCTGAAATAATAAAGAATACACCAAAAGTTATAATGGCACTCATACATGGAAAATTAAAACCAAGATTCAAGAAAATTAGTTCCTTTAACCTTCAGGAGAGATGGAATGAGTTGGAGGTGGCAACCAGGCAGAGGTAAATCCAGATTCTGCAATATCGCGAACTTTACACTCTAGATTCCTCCACCAATCACATTTTTGAGATTCCCAGTTGAATGCCTATAAATTACAATTGAAACCATGGGTGCTGAATTTCTCTGTAGAGTTTAAAATGACTCAAGGGAGATGTGATCTAAAACATTGACATTGGTGCAGTCCTCCCACATCGACTTTAAATTTATTTGATACACAAAAAGATACAATATCCAGGATGAATTTCAAAAGCCAGACATCTTTTCTTTTCTTTTCTTTTCTTCTTTCTTTTGGGAGGAGGAGGGAGGACTTCGCCCCAATTAAAAGCTACAAAATATCTTCCTGCAGTTCTGCTCTACAGAAAGATCAGAAAGCTAAAATGGTAACCTCTACCTGGAAAAGGATTTCTCTTCCATTGCGTATCGCTGCCCCTATAAGTGACCAAAAAGAAACACTAGAATAATTTAAATTGATAAGATGATATTAATCACAAAAAATAATTTTTCTACATATCAGAAAACCAACTCAAATTTCAAGCACTTGTGTATATATCTGCCACAAACCGCAAGTATTATTATAAAATTGAATATTGCTCAACGCACTCATACTTAAAAAGCATATAATGTCTTCTTTTTAAATAACTTATCGTCCATGAGTCAAATTTTAAGCATCATCAAACTGCTCTTGGTTAGCTAGGCCCATCTACGGGTATGCATATGCACCAGTTCATTCATTAGAATTTGAAGGCACTTGCAACGGAGCTATCATCTTTTGACAAACACTTAACAATAACGGGATCATATAATGATGGGGAATTTAATGTTAAAACAAACAATAGAAAACAACGTACCAATATCAGTCTGCTCATAGCTGTCATCAAAACCCTGAAGTCCAATATAAATTAGTAAATTGTATATTACAGTGTAAGTTCTACTAAATTTATGACTATAATCATATAATAATGATGCAGACAATTCATCATGGAACAAATTGGCCAAATTGAGCTTATTTTTGTTTGTCCACGTGCAAAAATAATCCATTAAAAATCCTATGGTAAATCTGGATTAAATACAAAGCATACATTATCAGAATCGCCCATAATAACTCGGTAGAAACTAGTGAAAACCTTGACGCCTTAGTTGAAGAAAATAGGGATGTCCTGCACCACAATCAAAGATAAAAAGAGCGTCAAACACTGTAATCTCATTCATAGTTTCCAGTCTCAACTTCAGTATGCTCACTCGAACAAGGAAAATGAAAATAAGAGAACAAGCTAGAATTCTATTACGGAAGTAATGCAGTGTGGACCATTCATGTCTCTGGCTTAGTTCTGCAAGCGGTACTAAACATTCAACAACCTCCTTCATCATTAGAAACTAATCCTCAACCTGAAATTGTATTAAACATTAACACTTCTTAAAGCTGTCCAAAATCAATTTCTTCATAAGTATAAACTAATAACAAGAAAAATGCGATCAACCTCGATAATACGAATCAATCAACTAAAAATCACGAGTTTCAAATTGGCGCGAATCCGAAGTCTGCACTTAGGAGGAAATATAATCCAGTGACAAAATCAAGAAAGAGACAATATAACAAGATAAACAAACAACCACCTTCAATACATTTGGCACGGAAGAAAAAAAGCTACGAAGAGAAACGCAAAGGCTACGACAGATGCTTTAAGAGTGATCGATCACGTATTCAATGGACAAACAGCTATATATATCCGCGATTATAAATCCGCATTTCGACGCCATTAGAAGATGAAAGAAATTACTTAATAAACAAGTGAGAAACGCTACCAAGAAGTATTAGATGTTCTCTGGTCCACCATTAGCGCGAGCAAATGATTGGTCTCAAAAGTTTCAAGGTTTTGATCTGCAGACGCGTGGGCTCGAGAACGTACGCAAAAACCGATCCAATGAGAGTGGGATGCGGACCTTGGCCAGTGTGTTCATGTTCCGTCGCTAACCATTTTTCGGCAGTGGCTTAAGCCTTAAGCAACTGTCGGTTTCAGGAAATGCAATGGTAACCATGGGACGTCCGATTGAACGAATGGTAAGGCCCGTTTAATTGGTAACGTTTCTCGCTTTTGTTTCCAAGTTTTTTTTTTTCTCTTTTTTCTTCTTTTAATAGATAAAAATAGAAGTAGAACTCTCTTCCATTTGGTAATTCCTTTTTTTTTTTTAGAATTTAAGAAAAAGGAACAAGTATTCTTATGTTTTCCCGTTCTCAAAAAATTTAAATTGAAATTAATGAAAACTATTTTTTTTCACATTAAATATTCAAAATTTTTATCTTAGATTTATTTTGTATTTTATAAATCAACAATAATAATAAAATAATACTCATGTAAAATAAATAAATAAAATAATACTTTTATTTACGTTTTGGAAAACATTAGGACCGTGAATAATATGTAATAAATTTGATTGTGTTAGTTTCCAAAATTTATACATAATTTTATAAAAGTTAGAAATAATAAACAAAAATAATTACAAGATGTTTATCGGAAGGGACAATTATAAGATTTTTATATTTCACAAAAATTGAAAATGATAAAAATAAGTTACATATTGGCTGCAACCGATAATTCATCTTTTTTTTTTTATATATATGGTCCTGCATGGTTAGAAACAATAAATAAAAACAATTATTAGAATTGAAAACTAAGTCTTAAGTTACATATTGGCCACAACCGATAATTTATCTTTGTTCATTTATATGGTCTTGCATGGATAGAATTTTCAAAATTAATAAGATTAATTGATTTTTTTTTGTCAAAAAAAATGATATTTTTTAGGCATTTATATCCAAATCAAAATTAATGTTATAAGTAAAGTAAAACATTCAGGCTTCATTGAAATTTTCATTCTGTTTACTAAACGGGCCTTACAAAGGGTAAAGTTAAAAGGGATATTATCTGTAATATAGCCTTAACCGGCACATTTTATTTTTTCAATTTTGTGGAATAAAAAAAAATCCAAATCAAGTGCAACTACTAAAATCTGTGGAATGGACTCTAAAACCCTAATGGAGACACCACAGGGTCAGTTCACTCCCTTTGCCTGAGTAAAATGGAAGAAGAAAAACCGCCAACGGAAACCAAAAGATCACCGCCACAACCGTCGATTGAAGAACCAGATCCGAAGAAGCTCAAAATGTCGTCCACAACCACCACCTCTGACGACGAAGATGTCAATCCCAATTCCGCGGCACCGAAGAAACAGAGGTACAAGCGCCGCAAGATCGCTATTTTCTTCGCCTACTGTGGCGTCGGTTACCAAGGGATGCAGAAGAATCCGGGCGCCAAAACCATCGAAGCCGACCTCGAAGAAGCCTTATATCTTGCCGGAGCAGTCCCGGAGCACGACCGCGGGCTCTCAAAGCGCTACGACTGGGCCCGCTCGGCTCGCACTGATAAGGGCGTAAGTGCCGTGGGTCAGGTTGTTTCCGGCCGCTTCTACATCGATCCGCCTGGTTTTGTTGATCGTCTCAATTCGAATCTCTCGCCTCAAATACGGATTTTTGGGTACAAGCGCGTCACAGCGTCATTCAATGCAAAAAAGTTCTGCGATCGGAGAAGGTATGTATACCTAATTCCCGTCTTTGCTCTCAACCCTAATTCCCATCGTGATAGAGAAAGTGTGAAGGCTAGTTTAGGGTCTGATAACGAGCTTGTAAAGTGCTTAGAATGCTCTGAACGAGGGCGCAAGGTCGAAGGCTTGATGGGCAAGCGCAATTTTGAAGCAAAAACTGTGATAACCGAGTCAGAAGTTTCGTCGAACACTGGAATCGCCGTTGAAGTTTCTGAAGGGGCCTTGGGGGACAATACCCCAGCCTCTGATTCTAACAAACAAACTAGCGTTTTAGTTGAAAATGGCGACACTGAACTTAATCTAGGAAGCGAAGGTACTGTAAAATGTGAATGCAATGAAACGTCTGGATTAGGGAATGACTCAAAGACTGTGGTAAGCAAAGAGAGCGTCGATGGGAATGAGAAACCTTCAGGGAGCTTCAAGTATGGCGAGGAGGAGAAGGCTAGGTTCAATAGGATTCTGAAGCATTATGTAGGAACTCATAACTTCCATAACTTCACTACCAGAACGAAAGCAGAGGACCCTGCTGCTCGACGCTTTATTGTTTCATTTGATGCGGCTACCACCGTTGTGGTTGAAGGTATTGAATTTGTAAAATGTGAAGTTGTGGGGCAGAGCTTCATGCTTCATCAGATCCGGAAGATGATGGGTCTTGCTGTGGCAATTATGAGGAACTGTGCTCCAGAGTCATTGATCGAAAAAGCTTTGCAAAAGTAAGTAAATCACCACTAAATTTTGACTTGATTCTGCCTTTGTTAATAGAATTGGATTTAATCAACTCTTAGTAATCAAACTTCAAACACAGGGATGTTAACATAAATGTACCCACTGCACCTGAGGTTGGGCTGTACTTGGAGGAGTGCCTATTCACATCATATAACCAGAAGTGGAAGGAGAGTCATGAAGAGGTATCTATGAAAGCCTATGAAGAGGTAGCAGAAGACTTCAAAATGAAGCAAATATATTCTCATATTGCTTCCACAGAGCACAAAGAGGGAGCTGTTGCTTTATGGCTGCATTCTCTAAACCATCGCAATTATCCAGATTTACGTGTTGCTGATGAGGTTGCAGATAAAGCTAATGACACTTGCGTTGGCATGGAGACACCAGCTGAAATTTAAAGGTCTTTCCCCCTCCTTTGCTTTAACATGCCATTTCAGGGATAAACGTTTACTTTTGACTGATTTAGAGCTTGTTCTATTTATGCTGTGTAACCAGATCATGCATAAATTATGGTTAAGAAAATGAGGCAAATCCATTGATTATGTTAAGTTTTGATTATTATCTTCTTTCTCTTCTCTGTTGACTGCGAGTCTGTGCTAGTAGCGTAGTATATCCACATCATGTACTGCTATCCGTACTGCTGCTTTGTTTCCTTTAAAACGGCTGACGTAATGTAGTGACTTTTACAATATTAGTTGTATGAGAGGGATTTTAAAATGTTTTCTGACCATGCATCTAATGGTTTATCACGGTTCACATTGAATATTGCATTTAGCTTCAATTCACCGAAGAATAGCTCTCGTATTTTCTGTGCTATTGAGATTATTGTTGTCGAATAACTGAAGAAATAGTCGACCCTGTGAATGCTGGGAGGGAGAAATCAAGTACTACTGTGATCCAAAGAGATGATCACTAGAATTTGCATAGTTAATCAATTTTTACCAAATTTATGGATTAAACATTACAATTTTTATCCTATAATTTTAGCGAAAAACAACAATCTCTACAGCTCACAAAATTCAACAAAAATTTAGTTATGGGAAAAGACAGTTCTAGTATTGTGTTTCTTTGAAAAATCTACCAAGGGTGAAAGTTGCAACATTTATTCAACCTGTAAAACTTGTAATGGTAGTTATGAGTCATAAGATCTAATGAAGAAGGTTTAATGTAAAACTCGTCTCATGTTTTATATACATAAATGCAAAGTCATTCTGTTTTCTCGTTCACCAAGTAATGCACCCTTATTCACCAAGCTCATGCTACCTATACAAAGTCCAAGTACTCTTGTAAATTGGTGGAAATATATAAGCATAAGAAGTGTGAAGAAAAGGAAAAATAATTGAATTGTTACAATTCTTTTTGTTTTTGATATTTTATTGTTTGCTTTAATCGACTTTATTTCGTTCCTTCATAACGCCTTTTCTCCATTTCTTCGAGAAGATAAAAGATTCCTCATCTACAGTTCTCGGGCGTAGAAAATGGCCGACTCCGACTGGACCAAGCTCCCGTCGGATCTCCTGCAAACCATCTTCGAAAAGCTCAGTGTCTACGCCGACCATCTCCGATTCCGAGCCGTGTGTCGGAGCTGGCGATCATCGGTCCCCAAAATCCCTCGCCATCTTCCTCCCCAACTCCCATGGCTCTTCATTCCTCTCTACCACCACTCCCGCTGTGCCCTCTTCAACTTTTCCGACAACAAAATCCATTTCCTCCACCTTCCCGAGGCTTCTCTCGGCAAGCGACGCTGCGGTTCCTCTCACGGCTGGCTCGCCGTCCTCGACGAAACTCCGACCATCCTCCTCCTCAACCCCATAACCAGGGCCAGCCTCCCATTACCTCCGCTCTCCACGTTTCCCAACGTCGTTTCCTTCGATTACTCCAGAGTAGGTCGAGAATATGTGATCCGTACACCCACCGGCCACATCTACGCCCGAAATTTGCGCCAAATGCGCGATTCTTTCGTCAAGAAAATCGTTCTGTCCTCGAGCCCTAATCAAAGTGATTTCTCCGCTGTAGCGATTCTCAATCGCAGCGGTGACTTGGCGGTTTGCCGTAGCGGCGCTGGATCCTGGACTTTCGTAGACGACGCACCGTCCGATTGCGAAGATATTATATTTCACGATGGGCTGTTTTATGCGGTGGATAAGTACGGCCTCGTTTCCGTCATCGATCTACGCGATCTGCGCCCTCGCGTCTCTCCCGTTACGACGGCGAGGCAATTGAGGGGCGATATACAGTATCTGGTGAAATCGGGGAATGAAGTGCTGCTGGTGACGCGGTATTTGGATATAGTCAACGACGCCATGGACGACGATCGGAGATCTGTAATTTATCGGACGGTGCGATTTGAGGTGTTCCGGATGGAGTGGGACGGGCCGCGATGGGAGAAGGTTGAAAGCTTGGATGAAATGGCGGTGTTCGTGGGAGAAAATTCTTCGATTGCTTTCTCGGCTGCTGATTTTTCGGGAATTTCAGGTAATTGTATATATTATACAGATGATTACTCGGAAAACGATTACGATGGAGATGGTGAAGAACCGGATATGGGGATTTTCCGATTGGGCCTCGAAAGCGTCGAGGAGCTGCCGTATTACTCCGGCAGCTCTCATTCCCGGCGGCGTTTACTTCCTCCCATTTGGCTCTCTCCAAATCCTTGCTAGTGCGTTTGTCGATTGTTTCTCTGTAAATAATTGCATACGTTTTCTTCTTTTTCTGCTAATTGAATCAGTGATGTCGGAGTCCGGCATCGGGAAAATTGTGGCAACAATTACCAAATAAAATCAGGATAAAATACAGATTATGAAGAAAGTTCGGTTAAATAAAATATGCCATGTTCTTTGCAGTTTCGTTAAATTAACCTAAAATTGTGAGTTCGTTTTTTTTTACTACAACATGCCAGGTGGAGATTTAAATTCAATTTTTTTTTAGCTCTGTTTATATATAATGAAGGTTAAAATACTATTTGATTTAAATTCAATTTTTTTTTAGCTCGGTTTATATATAATGAAGGTTAAAATACTATTTGATCCTGTACTTCGGTTGGGTTCATTTTGGTTCATCTTATTTTAAAGGTGTTGTCCCTTGATCGTTAATAAGTTAAACTACCGTTAATAAGTCATAGATTGATTATATGACATCCTTATTAAGTAAGAGTACGTGTTAATTTTCATTTAGTGGAATTTTTTCATTTCTCTTGACGAGGGTTTATAGAGCATGAAATGAGAGTTGCAAAAAGCTTCAAAATTAAAGGTTTTTAGGCACATCATCACTATGATTGGAACATTATTTTGTCTAAAAAATTATATCGATTGATTTCCAATATCTGAAGGCAACAACAAAGGCGGAGAGAGAAGAAACATAAATGGAAATAGAGTTAGGAATGCAATCAATGGAGCAAGGATTGCCAAATTGAGTATAACTACTTTAAAATCTTGAAGAGTAAGTCCTCTAACTAGAAGCTAGGGATGTCAATAGGCAAGATAGGATCGAGAGCTTTCACCATTATGTTTAATTAGTACCCCTGGTTTAGAATTCTAATTTGAAAGGATTTCAAATCTGAATCGTATTTCTTGTGTTTATAGGAGCGATTTAAAATCAGGTTTTGGGTTAAACAAAATTACATTTTAAATAACTCGGATTTGACAGGCTTTTAAATTAAAATTACTTTTACCAATTTAAGAACGAGAGATTCTAACCTCGATCTGTAGAAAAAATCAGTTTGCTAACTTATGTTTTATTTGAATGTATGTTAAAATATGGAGTAAATGTAGATCAATTATTAAGCCTTTTTAATTGACATATAAAGTATAGTAATTGGCATATCCCCACCCCACACATTTGTGCACACACAAAAAATGTGATCATTTGGAAAAAAAAACAAAATCTATATAAATAATATCTTAACAAATCAAAACCAAAACTTAACAACACAAACAAAAAATCCATATATTAAATCGCAAACTATAAATACTAAATCCTAAAGATTTCAAATTCCCATAGGAAATTTGAATTTTCATCCCTGTTCAACTATTAAAAACTTTAAATCAAATAACGTGAAGAAAAAAAAAAAAGAAAAAAGAAAAACTAACAACATAACAAAATAGATAATCATTGTAAATATTTGAAAATGAGTAATACATTCTCCTAAACAAATATTTATTTATAAAGAAAAAGGAAAAGTTTTGCCAATAAATATATGCCATTCCTCCGCTTCTGCAGAACAGAGTATCTGTTGGGAGAAGGAAAGCAGTCTAAAATGGCGGACTGGACGGAACTCTCGCCTGACCTCCTGCAACTCATCTCCCAAAACATCACCGTCTATCAAGATTATATCCGATTCCGAGCCGTCTGTCACAATTGGCGATCACCGGTCCCCGAAAACCCTAGCCATCTTCCTCCCCAGCTTCCATGTCTCCTGATTCCTCGGTACCACTGCTCCAGCTGTGGCCTGTTCATCTTCTCCGACAACAGAATCCACTTCCTCCACCTCCCGGAGGCTTCTCACGGCAAGCGCCGCTGCGGCTCTTCTCACGGCTGGCTCGCGATCCTCGACGAAACTCCGACCATCCTCCTCCTCAACCCGATGACTAAGGCGACG